GTCCTTTTGTACAAATATATATCCAATTGAAAACGAATTTCTTGTTCTTTATCTTGCTTGTGTGTTGCTTGATCCTCAATTTTCCCAATCATTCTCGTTAAGCAATTCACTTGGTACTGACAACAATAATATTTTGGAAAGCTCTTCTTAACAAAGTTTTACTCATAACTGTCTAATATTTAATCAATTATAATTGTATCATCCCTCAATCCTGACACCCGACAAAACATTGTCCGATAACCACTTGTCCGGCACTCGAATGGATTGGGATCTTTGACATATCCAGCTGTTAGGAGTTTATGTATGTTCATAAGAAATCAAATGATTTATTAGCTTGACTAGTCAGGTGCGAGTCATCTTGGAAGTTTGTATTACAACGTTACCATTGCACCATGTCGCATCGGTTGCCAGTTGGTAACACGTCCCCAAAATTCGAAAAAGAATCAGCTTGGCCTTTTTATATTGCAATCTTAGTTTCATAACAGGTTTTGCATATGCTAACTACTTGTTTCAGGTCTGTGGTTATGATTCAAATAATGATATGTCTCATCCAAACCACTTGCACAATGACCTGGCACTCGCTTTGTTTATTTTCGTATATTCTGCATCGACACTTAGGTGCTGGTGAGGCGTTATGGCCATCGGGAGTCCCATGATCTTTTTATATTAAGCAGATAATTGAACCAATCTACCATTAGAAAATCGACTTTACTACGACTCAGCTAAATTTCTGCTCCACTTCAATTTTCGGCTACTCACAGTTCAGGGTGCATAATCAATTATACAGTCTACGGTAAAAGTATCGCACTGATTGTGAGGCCAATTCTGGCGAAGAAATTGTTGAACCCAGAAAAATCGTTTTGATGCGACGTCCGTTAGGCCTCCCTCGTCGCATTTATTTGGCTTTATCTAACTTCTTGTTTGGTGCCGGCTCCGACAACTTCGGCATCAGTCCTTTGGTGCCTGGTACCACCAACAGCAATCATTCGGCCAACCTTGGCTGGGCTCGACATCATCGCTCTTGTGCCCAATCTGGACAGACTTCTGCCACCTACTCACGGCTACATAACGATCGGTGCCATCAACACGTCAATCGGAGCAAGTGCAGAGGCTACTCCTTCATTTCTCTAGCCGGCTGCATGCTTGACTGTTGCCGTTCTTGCCTCAGCTGCCAGAGTGGCAGCCGCTTCTTGCTGGCTGAGTCGTTATGGTCACGGCACAAGTGTTTCTGTCTCGTCGATCTGCCACTTATCGCTTGCCTGCCGCTTGCCCTAGTTCGCCTTCTTCTCAGTCATCTTTTCGCTTACCTGCTTGCAGGTCTCCTGATCTTCGGTGTACTAATGGCCATTTTTCACATAACTGAAAATTCGCTGCTATACGCTATCGGCGAACCTCCTCAATCGCGCATATACGTAGAAAGCCCTGCTAATGTCGGCTTTACGTGTTGGGAAAAAGTAAGTTTTCAAAGTCCATCTAATATTTATGTTGTTTTATTTGCGTTCCTCGTAAGCTACGCATGGATCGAGCGACACTTTCTGGCCTATTTTGTTCACATTCTCTCTTGATCATCCTCTAATAGCTGTAAGCGAGATATTTACTACATTCGGTCCATTCTTAGTCTAAATTGTAAAACTTATTCGTATAATCTACTTATTCCCGAACCGAAATAATTGTTTTTATATTCTTTACAGACCTACACGTGCACTTTCATGCATATTTCAGGTAATCCATCCGTCTCGCCAATTTTTGAAAAATCAGATGAAAGTTTTGTATGAGTGGTGTATTTCGGAGTCTGAATTACGCTTTATGGAGCCCTTATACACAGTACACGTAAAATTTCTCTTGCTTTTCCTATTCACTCAATCAGTTGGTTGACTTATGAGGTCACTAGGTTGAGTGGTTGTTTGACTGAGAGCCTACACTTTATCCCTTCGAATCCTTTTCTTGCGACCTTTGTGCCGAACTTGTTCTTAGTCAAATTTCTATATAAGTCAGTGTGTGCATTGTATAAACTCCAATGTGGCTGTGGGCGTTTTATGGCCCACTATTTATCTAGAGTTGTATGATATGCATTAAAGAAGCACCTTTTTATATTGTATATATTTTGCCTAATTATGTCTATGAATAAGGATATATTTGTATTCGAGTCATGCAGGGCAATATTTTGTATCCAATTTTGCTTATTTTGAGGTTTTATCGTAAGTTGTAAAAAGAAGGTATCCTTTTCTCACTCGAATTATATTTGACGTTAAATTAAACTTTTCGCTTTCATTCTTATTGAACGTTACTGACAATGAAAACATCGTTAATCTCGGTTGGTCTTCTAAAGACTAATTGTTTGAACGATTCACGATATTAAGACATTTACCTTTGGTATTATCATTTGATGGATTTTCACTAATTCACGAGTTCTTGAGATGTTGCTGTGGTGTTGGTAAGTGTTTGTGAGGACGTCTCATTCACAAATAGTAAAAGTACTGGTAGCTCACTGCTCCTTTCATTGTTGGTGAAGTTGAAAGGTCTGGGAATGCACCAAGTTCACTGTCCGACTGTAAATTGTCATGTATACTATGGACTCCGGACGAATTGCGTTCCTCTAGGTCTTCCTGCCAATATGACCAGGTTGCGAAAACAAGGTCAAACAACTACTATGCATCGAATTGAGACTGCGACCAAACTAGAGGCCACCACATCTTGGCATTGTATCTACGTTTAAACAATTTAGATTCACTAAACCTAAGAAACTACGCGTTATTGTCTCAAATTATATTACCAGGATAAATAAACCTAGTCTGCGCACAATCTGTGGTTAGGTTTGGGTACTAATGTTCTAATCGCAATTTACTTTGTTGGCAAAGTTAAGTCTTTTTCCCTTATTGTCTTATATCGTTTTTATATCGATATTTGTAACGATTTGTGTGATCGTTTAATAAATACTCTCCAGCTGATAATTTGGTTACATTTAAATGATGGCATGCAAAATGACTCAAAATTAATACTCTTTAGCAGTGACTTCATTATTTTCGCTATTTATAGACAAATAGTTCATCCCTGAAAAATTTATATTATGTGCGGCTTTAGGACACTGCGGTTATTTCACCACTAATGCTACTTCAATTTATGTCCTTGCATAATTATTTTTTACAACTAACAGTCTTCGTTACCTTAACGAACTAGAGTGAATATATCTCATGTATGTTTTTGCATGAGCTTATCTTTGTAATGCAAAAAATAAACCTTTGTAAATGCATTTATTGAAATCTTTCTCACAAACTGGTTAGCCTATCAATCCAGGAGTATTTTTCGCCATTTTACGTTCCCTTATTTATTTATACTCCAAATGCAGTAGGCATTCGCATTTGGCAACTCTTAATACTGGTTTCTACTCTTGTCAGCTGAATTTGATAGTTTTAACTTAGGTCACAAATTTTAAAGTGATCTCCGCTAATTCGTTGGAGAAGCCTGTCAAGCTATTAAGAAAAATGTATCATTTTATCTTCGAATTAAGCATTGTTTTCGTGACTAGCAGTAAAACAGGAATATGAGCTGTATTCACCCATTTTCGTTTAAGGTGAAGAAGGACTGGTAGAAGAAGAATTTTCCCACAATGATATAAGCTGAGCTGACGTTTCCATTGAATTTCCCAAAAGTTGTTCTCCAGGATAGACTACAGTTTCAACCTCGCTTTGGTCTTATCAGCACCCTCAGCGGAAGTCGAACTGTGATAGTGGAGGATGGGAACTTGACACGCTAACCACTCGGCTACACTGCCACGAGCGCCTTTTGGGTCACAGGGCAAATGTCAATTTTCAAGGAAGGCCAGGCCTTTTTGCAATATCATATTCTTTTTGGTGAAATTGTCGATGAAGCAAACATATATCTGCTATAACAATCGACTACTATACTTTATTTTTCGAATTAAGTATTGCTTTCGTGACTACCAGCAAATCAGTAATATGAGATGTATTGACCCAATTTCGTTGGATTTGATGAAGGACT